GAAGTATGCGTCAGAGAAGCCTCTAGTTTCGTTACACAATCATCCTCGATCAGAGACATTAGCCTCGACTTCTCGCAAACCTTCTTGAGCGATTCAGAAATAACGGGAGGATTATTGATCTTCTTTAGTTCTGCACGAGCAACTTTAATCACTCTCTCCTCAATCTCCAGTTCTTGTAACTTCTTCCAAAAGCCTTCATTTGGTCTTATCCATGGTCGAGATTGAAATACGATCGCAAACGCTTCAGCCAGCGTCAAGTTATGAGATACCATGAGAAATGCAATAACAACAGTAGCAGATCGAGATACACCACCGAAGCAGTGAACAAGAACTCTTTGGCCTCTACTTTCGAGATCTTGCAGGATTTCAGTCGTTTGCTTAATAACATGCTCAATGGGTGCATGTGATATATCTTCAAGCGGAAAGAAATAATGGGCTATTTTAGAACCATTCCACTCTATCTTTCTTTCAATGCCTTCATGTTTCGATGCCCGTCGATTCAAGCTGCTTGAAGATGGTGTAAGTTTCAAAGGCAATGTCTCGACTACTTTAGAGTTTCTGTCGTCTTCTAAGATCAAAGGTGTCTCTCCCAAACTAAGAATAGCATCGAACTGGTGTAATTTAACCTGCTTCTCATTAGTTGCTTCAATGCCACCAAGAAAGAGAAACCCTTTCAAAATACAACTCACAATTCCTTCATCAGAATCTTTCCCAGCTCTACTTTCTTCCTCGACATCATCAAATACAACGTGTACCACTCCGTTACTAAGCCCTTTGGGCACACTAAGCGGATAACATATGGAAGGACATGTCTCCATCACAGCATTGATTCCGCCTCTCAAGTAACACACCCAACGAACTTTGCCAAACTTCTTCCCAGTAACTTTCGCGATCTCGCTAAACCTTGAACTGAAGATGTTACTTGCATCAGTGCCATTAAGATCGTAAGCTATCAGGAAAGGACAAGCCAAAGTAGAAAGTAACTTCCTCAGTGCCGAATTACAAGTAAGGGCATAAATAGCACTTCCTGCTCCATCACACGAGGACAATTCTTTGGCCAGATTAGGAAGCGCATATGACCCTTTTATTCGATGCTCGGCTCCAGGAGGCTGAAGATCTAACAACAAAGTGTCCAAGAATCGATGACGAAGTATGAAGAGGAAATCTCTAACACTGATGGAGTTCTTTTGATCAATAGAACTTATATTTACAGGACTGGTCGGAGACAAGCTCGGTGCGTGTGTTAGATCTGCTGTTGGCGGTAGGAGTTGGCCCAGGTTGGTTGTCCTAATCGAAGGTTGATTCATCTTGTCTGTCACAAAAAAGAATCACAAACACAATGGGGCAGCTTTCCGGAGAATCTCTTGCTCTCTGTCTCAAATAAATAATAGCTTATGTTTGGCTTTGAAGTTGTCTCAATGTATTTTGCCGTTTTGGAGTCATAATCACGATTTGTCTCGTATACCTTTTGCATTACATTCGGATGGACATGGTGAGCGTACAAGTAATAATTGCAAAAAGTATCATAGCTTCCTTCAACTGGATTGAATTCAGTAAAAGACTGATTGTGTGGTTCATGCATATATCTCGTTAGTTTGCCTTGCTGTGCATCAATTCGACTGTGATCATCGAATAGAGTCAAGTTCATGAAATGCGTCCAGAAAGCCAAATTAACGGCAAAGTTAACAGATCCATCAAAAGCGAGAATATTATGCTCTACACCTGAAACAATGAACGATACCACATCACGCGAAAATAACAGGAAATTCTCATCCATTCTTATCTTGTTGGCCCATTTTCCCCTTCTTCGCCAGTATTTACCCCAAATAAAACGTTCTGACGGTCGCTTGCCCGACTTCAGCTCATTCAATAGCGTAGGAAGGCACAGGAAGGAATCATCGTCAATCTTCAACAAATAATCGAAGGTGTAATGTTTCAAGGCGTACTTCAGAGTCAAAAAGGCCCTCTCACCAACGTTTGTCGTGCGTCCGCCTAAAGTATGAAGTTCAATAATGTCGCTTTCTTTGAATCGATCGTATGGGACTTTGTCTGTAAAGAATTTATAGGTCACACCTTCAGTGCTTTCAAGCCATTTAAGCCACGAGGCTCTTTGCTCTTTTCTCCTGTCAGTATTGTCAGGACCAGATCCAATTGCAATGAATAGCACCAGAGGTTTGTCCTTAGAAACGGAAAGCGTGACCAAGTTAGAAGACAAGTTCGAACTATAGCAAAAGTAATACAGACATATAATTAACAAGTTTCCAAAAAGCACGGCAATTAATGATTTTCTTAAAGTTGAAACGTTCATTTTATGGTAAAAATTGAAATTCTATTCAAGCGCAATGTGAGAACCAAGGTTGATATGAGATTTTTCCGTTTCCGGAAGTATCAAATAACTCTCAAGCCACGTGAAGAAGGACAAGGCGCACATTAAAATAAACACGAAATGATAATTGAAGGGATATCCAAGATCTGACTTGAGGGAGAATGCCCATATTAATCCGCCAAACAGAGGGCCGATTCCTCTTACAAGCGACGCAACAGCCTGAGCAATTCCATTAACGATTCCCAGTGTTTTTGCATCAGCACTGTTATTCACCATTATCATAATTGGAGTGAAGCTGCATACCGCGGAGATAATTCTAAAAATATGATGAACAATTGTTAACGACCAAACCACATAACCATTCTCATGAAATACACTGATGAATCCAGTAAGAAACAAAACAGGGCATTCCAGTAGCCGAGCAATACGAAACAAAGACAATAGACCAAATCTGGCTTCTAATTTTGGATACAAAACACTCTGAGTGAACAACAGAAACACACCACTAACCATTAAAGATAACCCAACTTCTTTCTCTCTCCATCCTAAGCCACCATAAGATATCTTTTCCTGAGCCCAGATGCTGTATATTTCTTGGAACACAATATTAGTTGTAGCCAGCAACGCGTACGCAAAAATAACGGGAGGAGCTGCTCGCCATGAATAGTTTGGATCAAGTATAACTTCAGCTTCTTTATCTGCAGGAAGAGTATCATACGACATATATGCTTCATCTGATTTCTTATTCGCCAGCAAAGACGTACTTTCATCGTTTTCTTCAACTTCAACCGCATCTTCTTGATGCTTCAATTTCAAACTTTCCTCAAGATAGAAGTAACCAGATAGAAAGCCAAAAAACGCAACAGACGATGATATCATACAAGGTAATAGATAAGGAAACGTTATAAAGAATTCTGAGCCGCCAAATACGTCTGGAAAGTTCTCTGCAGGGTGTGACAATAAACCACCAAGGGTTGGAGCGACAATTGATCCTAAACCAAATGCAAAGCCAAATAAAGAGAAACCAAAGCTCTGCTCTTCTGCAGTTTCAGACGTCTCCCCAAGCACGCATTTCGCAACGGCGATGTTTCCATTCATTAGACCCGATATCGATCGAACAACCAGAGCGAATGTATAATTCTTGGAGAACCCAAACATTAAAGACGTAATACAATTGCATAATAGACCCCACAATATTACGGGCTTTCTTCCTATCCTATTGCTCAAAGATCCCCAGAAAGTGGAAGATAGGAACTGACAAAAAGAAAAACTACCCACAAGCATGCCAACATAGAAACCAACATCGCGCTCATCCTCGGCTATCCCAAAGCTCTTTGTCATTGAATAAATAAATGGAATGATGATAGTAAGAGCAACAGGTTCTACCAATACTACAGTGAAGAGCACGAACAATTGCCATCGTTGGTTCTTCATGCTCGCCGTTGTTTGTCGAAATCAAGCTTATCTGACGTCAAATCTTACCAAAGCATTTAGCAAACGATTCTCCTTAATGAAAGACACAATGACAGATCCTGTTAAAAACGTTGTAATAGTTGGCTCCGGGCCTGCAGCGCATACTGCAGCTATATATGCTGGAAGAGCTCGCTTGTCTCCGATCTTGTATGAGGGCTTTCTTGCTGGGGGTGTTGCGCCAGGAGGTCAATTGACAACTACTACAGATGTTGAGAACTTTCCAGGCTTTCCCGAAGGTATTTCTGGTTCTGCTTTGATGGACAGAATGCGTGCGCAGAGTGTTCACTGCGATACCACAATCTTCACTGAGACGATTGCACGAGTTGACTTACAAAGTCGTCCTTTTAAGTTATGGACCGAAGGTATGGTCTCATCCATGGAAGAGGGTGAACAGGTTGAGCCGATTTTAACCAAGTCGTTGATCATCGCAACTGGTGCAACTGCAAAGAGACTGCATTTGCCTGGAGAAGACAAGTTTTGGCAAGCAGGTATCTCAGCGTGTGCAGTTTGTGATGGTGCTGCTCCGATCTTTAGAAACAAGCCTTTAGCCGTTGTTGGTGGTGGCGATACAGCAGCTGAGGAAGCTACTTATTTGACAAAGTATGCAAGTAAAGTCTATTTGCTAGTTAGAAGAGACCAAATGAGAGCTTCAAAAGCTATGCAAGATCGTGTTTTATCCAACAGCAAGATTGAAATTAAGTGGAACACTGTTCCTACTGAAGCTAAAGGTTCCGGACGTTTGTTGGAAAAGCTTGCCTTGGAAGATACCAAGACCGGAGCTAAGAGCGAGTTAGATGTTAATGGATTATTCTACGCTATTGGTCACATTCCTAATACGTCCTTCTTGAAAAATCCAAAGACTAATGCTTATCAAGTTGAATGTGATTCTGATGGTTACATTGTCCACCAGAAAGCACACTCTTCTGAAACTAATGTTGAAGGTGTCTTCGCAGCAGGTGATGTAGCTGACAAAAAGTACAGACAAGCTGTCACAGCAGCAGGAAGTGGTTGTATGGCTGCACTTGACTGCGAACGTTGGTTGGAAACCCAACACTCTAGCAGCTTATGAAGTGCGCCTTAACTCAATCAATAAAGGATTTCGAAGGAACTTTATTCAAACGTTGCATTAGAGTTAAAAGAAGAAAGTCTAGAAAGAGTTTCCATCAAAATGTATTCTAATTATTAATCTTGGTTGATAATAGCGCCTGTAGCATAGTGGTTAATGCGCCGTGCTTATATTGATTTTGCGAGTCAATACCGTGAGTTACGCGGATATCGTGAGTTCAATCCTCACCAGGCGCACTTTTTGAATTGAATTTTTGCTGAATGAATTTGAAAATAGGATCTTGTCTGTAAAATGAAACTTCTGGATTACATTATAGAGAAACTATCTATAAAATGCCCTGCATCGTTTCCAGTATCAAGAGCGAGCGAAGAAATTTGTGGATATGGGAGTAAATCTTCTTGCTTGTCGCTACAAATATGCCTTAACATTTACTGCTTTGAGAGTTCATCTACTTATGATTCCAAAGATCTTTTAGAATGTGCTTTAATATGCATCTATGCGGTTAAAGCCAACGCTGAATGTTTTCATCCTTTTATGTTATCATGGCTTAGGAATAACACCGATCAGTGCACCCTGCGACGGTTTACTACAAATTTTGTTAAAAACAGTAAATGCTTGGATACCCTTTGGCATTTGACGTTCGAATCCGCCATAGATTTAATATTAAAGTGGGAAATGGTGGCTTTAAAAGACCTTGTTGATGCTTCAGATCTAACATGGATTGTTCCAGACATCATTCCCCTGATAATATGTGATAGTACAGGATCAATTGGCACGCTGAAGAGACTTTTAAAATCCGCAGCTAAACGGCCATTATCTTTAAAGAAAAGTACAGAGTGCACCTCATTAATTCGATATGGTTACTTTGTGGAGATGTCTGATTCAAAGATTCACGGTATGATTATGAATAATATCGATGTTGCAAAAGCTTACTTACAGCAAAATTATTCTCCAGAATTGACTCGGTCTATTTTAAACCATAACAGGGCTTATTCGCAATTCATTGATGTCATGAACTCAATACGATCTCTAATGACCGAGGACATATTGGCTGTCTTCATATCTAAATACTGCGATCTAATTTCAGCAGCAGAAGATGACGGTTTGGCAATTGTGTTTTTGATATTCTTACAAAGACTTTACAAAGAAGGAACTGTGCCTGATATCACGCGCTTGGAAATGGAAACATTCTGCGTCAGATTCTTTCACCTCAAGCAAGCAACTGATCTATACAAAGCGATAAAAAATAAAACGCAATGACTGCTGCTATTTTTGCAGGAATTCGCAAAAAAGAGGCCCTACTGAGAGTCGAACTCAGGTCTTGAGATAACACTAACTTGGTCAGAGTCTCACGTCTTAACCGTTGGACGATAAGGCCGATGAGTTGGGGATAAAACCGCCTAATATGGCCCGTTAATCGATCGTTAATTTCTGATAAAAACCAAGTGTCATGGTTTAAAGCACATTGCAGTCCTTCTTACGGAAGTCTCAATTTGAAGAGGTCGACTAATGTTGTTGCGCTGATCCAGTAAGACTATGGGACATNACAGAAAAGTACTTAGAAATACTGAAGACGAAGCATAAGAAGACCTCCTCCTATCATCCGAGAACAAACGGTAAGGTGGAGAACTTCAATGGCTCACTTACTCGCATTATTGCCAAATGTTGTGGTGCCGCTATTCATAAGTGGGATATGTTCTTACAAGAAGCAATTTTTCATTGTCGTACCAGACTGCATCAGGTAACTGGATACACACCATTCAAGTTGCTATATGGAGTCGATCCTCGTTACCCTGGAGATACGACACCGCCTTTTTGTCTGAGTGAAAGGAATCCAAAGGATGTTGCGGAAATTCGCGCAAAGCTGCTAGAAGATTTGAAATTATGGCGAGAGGCTGCTTACGAACGATCAAATAAGAGCGCCGCTCAGAGGAAGATATACTATGACAAGCTTGTACGCGAAGATCCACTTAAAGTTGGAGAATGGGTTCTACTTTCGAGACCTATGAAGATAAAGGAGAAATTCAAACCTAATTGGATTGGTCCTTATAAAGTCCTAGAAGCAAAGTCAAGTGGCGTTTATAAGTTGGTTGATCCTAAAGGAAATGTTAAACAAGATTTAGTTCACAGAGATCGTTTAAAGAGATGTCGAATTAATGAGACTCCAACACAGCTATGGACAGATGACAAGTTGGAAGAGTTTGAAGACTACTCAGGGAAGAATCTTGAAGATGGGGAGGAAGTGAAAGAGTTATCTTCAAGATAAGAAGATCTATCGGTAAATCAGGGGTAAACCACGTGTACAGATTCTGGAACGTGGATAGTCACATGGAGAATAGATCATTGGATAGAGCGGAGATTCAATCTTATAGATGTCACATCGTGATACCGCCGGAGGAATATAAAAGGCGGCCGATCTTCGCACTAATTCTGGGAGAGCCGGTTAGATCTACACGTCTAGTCAATATAGTTCTATTATAATCACCCGAAGAATTTTCAAGTTGGGGATAAAACCGCCTAATATGGCCCGTTAATCGATCGTTAATTTCTGATAAAAACCAATTGTCACGGTTTAAAGCACATTGCAGTCCTTCTTACGGAAGTCTCAATTTGAAGAGGTCGACTAATGTTGTTGCGCTGATCCAGTAAGACTATGGGACATTCTGAAACAAGAAGCGAATTTTTCAACTCGTATTAAAACGTGGAGTAACTTCAACCTTTAACCACGGAATTTAAAATTTCTTGCCTTGTTGAATGGAATTTCAAGGATGCGCGAGAATCAATTGACTGTCACACATCATCATTCATACTCACCTAAGGCGTAAACAACGCCTGCATCTGCTAATATTATTTTCCATGAAACGAAAGAAGGTAAAACATTCATAGAATTGTTGAAAGCATCCAACCGAATCTTTAATTAAATTTTGAAGAGATATTTTAATGTCATCGAGGGGCCTTGTCGTCCAACGGTTAAGACGTGAGACTTTGAATTTCAAAGGCATCTCAAGACCTGAGTTCGACTCTCAGCAGGGCCTCTTTTTTGCTGTATCTGTTCCATATTTTTTTGGACACGTTCATTATTGACTTCATTTTTTGTTCATGAATTCTTTGAGGATAATTAAATTTGCTCGCGGTTACAAAGTTGCTGTAAAATTAGCGCCCAAGCCTGCCATCACCCCGAAAGTTAAGGAAGTTGTAAAGGTTCCGTTAACTCCACCTACTGAACCAGAGAAAGCCGCTCCATCTGCAGAGACTTCTATTTCTAAAGACACGATTAAAAATACTCCTGTGGCCACGCCAGCGACAACGGTAGTGTCTCCTTCATTTGATCTCGACCCTGCTCCTATGGTTATTCCTTCAAGTGTTGACTGGACGTGTTCTTATCATGGCATATCAGCGAAACCTTTCAGCAGAGAAGTCCAGGAAATATTAATGACTCCAATACCTGCAGAAGATATCGAAGTCTTAACAGAAAACAATGGTCTTTTGTATCTACCAGAAATCAAATACCGACGCATACTGAACAAGGCATTTGGACCTGGAGGTTGGGGTTTAGTTCCACGTGGTCCTCATTCGATTCTTGACAATAATGCAGCGACTTCCGCGATTAAGAAGACCGTCCAACAAGATGAAGATCACGCTCACGATGAACTATTCAAGACTACCAGCACATTCACAGGAACATCATCAAAGATTTTAACTAGGGAATATGCGCTAATTGTAGATTCTAGATTTATCTCGCAGGCAAGAGGAGAACAAGTATTTTTCACAAGAGATGGAATTGCGACAGCGTGTGAAGGTGTTAAATCGAACGCTTTGATGCGTTGCTGTAAAGATTTAGGCGTCGCGAGTGAATTATGGGATCCTGCATTTATTAGAAAGTGGAAAGCGGAATTCTGCGAGGAAGTTTGGGTTACGGATGTGCGTACGAAACAGAAGCGTAAGATTTTGAAGAAGAAGGGAACCAAAGCTCCTTATCCGTATCAGCAATAGACTGTTCTATAATGTTCATCAGCGTATCCGTAAAGCATAATATCCCAGTCCGTATAAAAGACCACCCAGATGTCCAGCATGATCAACATACGACCCTCTGTTATTAAGCATGGTAAAATCATACAGCAGGAATAGACCTAATGCGACTGGAGCAGGAACAGGGAATACAAAAAACAAGTTGATTCTTGCTTTGGGAAAAGCACAAGCAAAAGCAGAAGTTAATCCCATAATCGCACCACTTGCACCGACTGACGTTCTTTTAGGATTCTCTTTTGCGCTAAAGGCCAAGCTTGAAACAGAAGCACTAAGCGCAGAACCCAAGTAAAGGGATAAAAACCGACGATTACCCAATACCGCATTCATAAAAGGCCCAAAGGAATTCAAAACAAACATATTAACTGCGAAATGAGGTAAAGCGATATGGCTGAAGGATGAGGTCAACAGTGTCCATGGTCTTCCTTCTTTAAAATTCTGATAAGACGTCGTAAAGTTCCTCTGCATGAAACGAGCAGTATCCTGATTCCTTGCTGTGTTCCATCGGAGGAAAATCAATGAATTGATGCCGATAATTCCGTAAGTTAGAGTTTGTGCATTCATTTTGTGAGATAAAGTGGGATGGAAAACTGTTGGAGTGACGATCTTGACTCCAAACTGGCGTTTCTATTGGAATGCCTTCCGGACAAAGATCCCACTCATTTAATGAATGTTTTAAATAAGAACCAGGGCTCAGTGGACTTATCTTTACAGGCCTTGATGGTCGAGGATCTGTCTGATGATCAGCTGGCAATACTAATTGATGCTTTTCCTGATTGTGAAGCAAAGTATTTAGAACAAAAATTAGATGAATGTAATGGGAATGTTGATGCGGTTATGGATATGTTGATAAGTGGTGGCGCTAAAAAGTCTAAAAAGCAAGTTGTTGAAGTTCCTGTGGTGTTTAAAGATTCTCCTGTTAAAACGCAAGATTCTGTAGCTGATGTTGACGAACCAAGTTCTAGCAGGCCTGCTAATATTCAACGGAAAGATATCGTGCCAGGTGCTGCCGAAACTTACCGCGATATTGCATCGAACTATGCAAAACAGAGGAACGACATGTTTGCTAGAGCAGCTACCGAATTTAAAAAAGGCCGTTACGGAAGAGTTGTGGCGAGTTATTATGCTGAAAAGGGCAGAGATTTAAATAGTAAAATGGTTCGAGAAAATTGGCATGCGGTAGAAAGCTTGTTACAAGATCAGAAACGGAAAGGTGGAAGTAATTCAATTGATTTGCATTACATGACAACGGAAGAGGCTGTAGTTGTTCTCAAAGAGGAATTGGAGGAATGGAAAAAGAGAAACCATCATGCTAGATCTATCGGTGAACCTTTTTCGCCCCTTCAGGTCATTACGGGAAAGGGGAAATATCGACTGTATGAACGAGTTCATACTTATTTAAGCAAAAATAATTATGTTTACGAAGCAGCAGATGGCTACTTTGTTGTTAAATTTACCTCTTAATCTATTTAATATCAATTTGCTAATAGAACCTTGTTATCGTTTAGAATCTTGACGATTTTTGTCACATCTGTTTCCTCTTTTGCATACGATAAGAGCGGAATTAATCCGGAAGACAATGTGAAATAATTATAGGATTTCTGGTCCTCCTTGAAGTATTTCATTACGACAATCGTTAGCGTTTCGAATATTTCCACTATGTATGATTTCATCTGGCTATCTGCGACAGGAAACTCACTAATTAAAATATCAGGAACATACTTTCTTTGAGCCAAATGAATTGCGAATTCTTCATCGTGTAAACCGTACTTCAACAATTTCAAAGCAAATATCTTATGATTCCGCCATTCATCCGAGTCTGTTGAATTGAAACTATCGTAAAACATTGGAATGTCTTCCAAATCAAGAGAACCGGACCTTAACAGATACTTATTGACCAAAGTGTATAGATTAGAAGATGGATTTTGAAGAATGTGAACAGCTTGTGACAGAAATAAAGCCATCACGAACGATATTCTTTGATTTTCCTCGGTGATAGCATTTCTTAAGGATACTAGAAGCAAGTAGACTTGTCTCTTCTCTTTCACAGAACGTACAAGACTAAATGATTTGTGTCGGAAATTTTCTGATTTGGTTTGCTCCTCGTTTAAACTGTCCCAAACACAAGCATGATCAAATGTTGAGCAAATCTTCTCTAAAATTAAATAACCCTTCCTCCTTATCTCAGGATTCTTGCAGCTAATTGCGACAAATGCAAGTGATAATCCATTATTATCAATAATCGTTTGTAAGTTGGTATCCTTGTTCATTGTCATCACTTCAACGCACAAAATACTAAGCCAAAAATTGAACGATAGCTGTTTGCCCTCCTTTCTGCTTCTTCCACTTATAACATCAAAATCGTACAACGAGTTCATGAGTTGCTTTCCGTCAAAATGTTGCGACTGAATGCTGAACTTTGGTTTGATCAATGGAACTACGGATTTTTCAGTTTCCTTCTCTATGAAATGCATCACTGCTTCTAAATGCTGATCTGCATCTGAATCGGTGCCTTCGTAGTATAGTTCAACCAACTTTTTAGCGTTCTCAATGCTGGATTCGTTGTGTTCCAACATCAAAAGTGTTCGAAGGAGTTTCATAATATTTCCTCTACAAGCAGCCTCGCCATTTTCCATGAACTCACTGAACTTAGAATGGGCAAGAATCATTCCGAAAAGCTTTAGAGGAGAAACAGCGTTCGTGGCTACTGTCGGAAATTTATCGTAAAAGTCAACAACTGTGTTCATGCATTCCTCATCAGATAAGTGCGCCTTGAGAATCTTTACAAATAAGGATGAGATATCACCAGTATTACAATTATCGAAATCATCTTCTTTGCATCGACCCAATAGCATTCTTGGAGCAGCCGTGAGTGCCAGTGGAGTGTTGGAAGCTTTAGCTTGGTCTAATCCATGATGAAGGAATGTTATACAAATATTCGCAATATTTTGATCACAAATCTGATTTCTTTCAAGTATACTTAGGTACGATTCATAAAGTGGATAAGAACAATCTTGAGAAGATGCCAGCCATGCTGGAACGAACGCTTCGTAAATTTGTGCCTTGCAACTCAAAAAATAATCTGACAGAAGATCACTCTGCATAAGATAATCCGTTTTTGGAGCCATTTGTAGCAAATACTCTGCGAATTGAGATTCTCCAGTAAGAATGCCGTTGAAATTGAGTTTGTGATTCTTCAGTAGTTCCAATAATGGAAGCAAATCATCGCCCTTTTCAAAAATTATAGTATTAGACGTGACCAGCAAATTGCAGAATCTTCCGAGTGAGCCATTTTTATCTACATTCAATGGCACAGCGATTTTCTCACGAATGCAGAAAGAAAGTAGCTCCAAATTATCTCCAATATCCTCATAAACTTCATGAACATGCTCTTTCAGGTAAGCGACGACCGTTTCGCTCTTGCAGTCAAAAATATACGGATAATGCAATTGTTCGATATCGACATCTCGCCCTGAGCTCAACGCATTTTCAACGGCAGCATTCATTGCCTCAACAAGTCGATCTTTGGTTGTGCTTTCAACTGATTCAAATCTTTCCAAAAAGAGCTTGGTAAACTTCTTGTTAGTCAGAAACAGTTGACCGGCGACTTTATCTAATGACTCTTCTGGAACTTCTTCAAACAAAAAGGATCTAATAGCGCTGTCCTCCAAACACTCTGGGTCGGTAACCAGCAATTTCGTTAGAAAAGGAACGTAACAATCTTCCAAGCCGTACTTCAGGAACTCTGACTTGCATGCTGAGACTGTAATCTGAGCTATGGTTTCATTGCCTCTTGCGAGAAAGTCTTTATAAGAAAAGAGACCATCAAGTTGTGCTAAACATCTGATAACCACTCGAACCAACATGGTGCTACTTTCTGGAAAATTGCAACATTTACGTGAGAGGGCCAAAAGAAGAATCGAACAAGGATATTCTACAGATGATGAGCCTACCATTTCAGCTGTTGCATCATAGTACTCGAAAACCCGATTTTTTAGATCTTGTACAC